AAAGAAAATAAAATAAATAAAGCTTTCGAATTTTAATTCTAAATAAACTTTTTTACTTTTCATTATTAATTCCTTAAGATGAAACGATACAAAGGCATGAGGCTTTAAATATCGATATTTAATTGACTAATCATGTGACTTATTTCAGCATCCACTGATGCTGAAATATTATGATGTTTTTTAATCTGGTTAGGTTTTATTTTAATGCACTTTTTATAATTAAATTTTAAGTTTCTTAAAGTAAATAATGTTTCTTAAAATAAATAATACTAAGAAATAGTGACAAGTATTAATGAACGCGTGATTAAATAGAATTTAATTTGTAAAAGCTTTTCTTTGGATATTTATAATTTATCCAAAGTAAACTTTGAGCAATTGGTCAGGTTGACAATATAAAACAAAGTGGCGGCTGAAGCTGAAAATTTTAATATTTTATTATGAAAATTCTAATTTTTTTCGGGTGCATTTTTTATACGAAGTATATTTATCTGGAGGAGGGGAGTATTAGAGCATGACACTTATACTCCTTTCGAATATTGTATCCTAACTAAGAAGGACTAACAATTGGTTGAAAATTTCAATATTTTATCGTTTGCTTAATTTTGCCAAGGCCGTTCAAAGCTGAATAGTTGTTTAACATCGTCTCCCCTCTCGGTTAACTGCCCCAAGAAATTAAACAAGCCAATCACAACGATCATAGATGACCAATTCTCTAAAATTTGGCTCTGGTTTCATGTCATAATTAAATTTAAAGCATAAATGATAATCTAATAGTCTAGTACTAAAATAGCTTAAATTGTTATCAATTATAGAACTAGATGTATTCTCTGTCTAAAATTTTTTTAAATAAAAGAATTAACTAAATTACTAATTATTCAAATATTATTAGTACAAAAATATTATTGCATTAAAATAATACTTACAGTGTTAATATTTGAAAGGCGAGTAAAAACTGCTTTAAAATATTCATAAGCACGTTTCTCATCTTGTTTGACATAACCATCATGCCCATTTAAAAGGCAAATTGCACTCCAATATTTAGCGTCATAAGAATATTCAGTTTTACTTTCACTTACTTCTGCTAAGAGATTCCATGCTTTAACATAATTTTTTTTCTCATGTAAAGTTCTTGCTTTTTTAAGCAAATATAAATATTTAAAATTTATATCTATTTCGGTTTGTATTTCACGATAATATCCTTCTAAAACATAAATTGTCATCCAAAATTTAGCAGTATGCTTATGTGTATCATGCGATTTTTTGCTTAAATAATGGTCTGTCCTGAATTTACAAGTATAAATATCAGAAAAAATAGTCCAAGCTTTCTCGTATTCTTTTTTATTATGGTGTCTTTTTGCAATTTGAAGTCGTAAGTTATCGACCTTTTCCTCATCACATATTTCATAAGCACTTTTTATGTCTAATTTGATGTGAAACCTATTTAGAAGGTATTTTGCCATATAGATTTGTGGCCCACCTGTGTATCCTTTTTTATGAAGGTTTTCAAAAATATCCCATGCTTTCTTATATTCTTGATTAATATTAAATACTTAAATAATATTTCTTGAATAATATTTTTAGATCATATAGTAACTGTATATGAGATTTTTATTTCATATAAAGAAATTTACATTTTTAGAGAAGTTGCTAAAACTAGTATGCCAACATCAAGTATTAATATATCTTTATTACGTCAATGTGTGCCGACTTTTCTTTTTTTTAAGGTATTAATTTTTCATTCTTTTTTTTTTTTTTTTTTAACTTTTTTACTAATATAACTTATGTTTTAAGGAAATTATAATTGAAAGCTTAAGAAATGTAAATCAATACATTATGGAAGCGGGTTTGAGCACACCAATCGATAATGAAGATGCTAGTTTGTTTCTAACACCCATGACGTACTCATCTATAGACGGAAAAGATTAATATAATTCAATATAGGACCAAAGAAATATCTAAACCATCTATTATAAATTTATTTTTAGCAATATACAATAATGAAGTGATTATTTTTTATCAAATATTAAATTTTAACAAAAGTGAAATAAACAAATGTTTTAAGGTGCTGACAAATATAGAAACAAATATGTCTGTTTAAATTATGATAGCGATAATACTAATTAACTACAGTTTTACAATAAACTACAGTTTATTTATATTAACTACTAGTTTACGGATCACACCTCTACTCTACTGCATGTAAATAGAGGTTTAACTATTTCAATTGAAATATATACAATTCAATATACGTCACTATATCAATTGATTTCAATTTTTTTTTGAACATAGAACAATAATGTAATTGTATTATGTTATTAAATTAATATTCTTCATATTAACAAATTGGTTTACTCTTGTTATGTTTACCAGAGTTACAAATTAATTCTACCAAAATTATGTTTACCAGAGTTACGAATCAATTCTACCAAAATTATGTTTACCAGAGTTTAGAGTTGTTAACTTACATGTAAGTTACTGTAAACTTACACTCTAACTTACCTGACTTACGTAAATTACAGTAATTTACATGAAATTTACAGTAACTTACATGTAACTTATCATGTAAAGTATGTTGTCAGGTAAGTTTTAACAACCCTACCAGAGTTATGAATTAATTGTTGTCTCCGTACATGTTCTATAATTCTATTTTCTTTAAGTCTTTTTAGTAACAGGTTTCTTCCTATTCTTTTGTATTTTCTTTGTTGTTCCGATTCGGAAAATTGCTGGCTACACATAATTTTTTAAACTTAATAACAATAACTGATGCAATCATAAATGAATTATACGTCATAGTATTTCAGCATCAGTGGATGCTGAAATAAGTCATATGATTAATCAGTTAAGTATTGATGTTAAAAAGTCTTAAGCCTTTTTTATTTAAATCTACTAACGTTATATAATATCGATGTTAGTTATTCAATTGACAACAAATTGAATTTAATGTTATTTAATTGAATTTTAATTTAAATATTTCCGTTATTTAGCTAATTAATCACATGATTTATTTCAGCATCCACTATTGCCGAAATATACATGTGACATTGGGGTGTGCTGTGGCCTATGTAAATCAAAACTATGTGGTCATATAATAAAATTTATTAATGAAGATTTTTCGATAGTTGATAATTTTATAATAATTTTATAATAATTATTATAAAATTATCAACTATCTAAAAATCTTCATTAATAAATTTTATTATATGACCACATATAGTTTTGATTTATATAGTATACCGAACACCCCAATATGACATACGTTAACACCAACCATTAACACTAATGTTAGAGTGATGCAAAGGTAAATTAAAATTTTGAGATTATTTAACATACAGATACTTTGATACGTAATTTATATCTACGTATCACATGTTTTTTTTATCAAGTCTGAGTTATGTTTTGTACATAAGAATAAATTCTATCTCAAAATTTTTAAATGTAAATAATTGTTAATTTATAAGCTTAGAATCAACTAAATCTTGCCCATAATATATATTGAAGTATATTTGTTAAAACTTGCCCAAAATCTACATTGTTTCTTGTGAAAACTAAGCGGCCGTTCATAAGTTGTTAAACATTTGGAGAGAAATTTTTTTGTACGCTCAAAGCAACAAAAAAATATGCAAGTGTACTATATTTTCAAAATTCGCCGAGAAGTCATTTTATCTAAAAAAATAAAATAGGTGAGCTTTATTTATTTAATAAAACCAACATTCAGATATGAACAATGTCAATATTGAATCACTCCAATATAACCTAGACCCTAGGATGTTATATCTATTCTATTTATATCAATAACTTATAAATAAATCTACTCAGTGGTATTAATTTAATACTTACGTGTTTAATGAAAAGATTTCTTGTACTTTAGGCCATTCAAAGTTGATTATTTTAGGTTAACGTTAATATTTTGAGCTCAGGCATGAGGGGGAGATCTGATTGATCTGATTGGTCAGCTGGGTCACGTATCAGTGCATTATAAACAACCAATCAAAACAAACTTGCCCTGTCGATCTTGTTGATCAATAGAATTTTCTCAAAAAATAACAACTCACGCTAACACTAATAACAGTAGTAATTATTTTTTAAAATACAAAAAAGAATTATGGAATATAGCCCATTTTTTAGATTATAGAAT